TCTTCCAAGTCAAGTCTTGATGGTTCGGCTCTCGGCAGACTTTGGCAGGTAATTTCTCGCCTGGTCTTCAGTGCGCCCTTGATGGCTCAGGTCTCTCTCCTCTGGTTCAAGCCTTGTGTGACTGATACGGGCCTCGTCCGTGTTCTAGTCTCGTTACTATGCCGGTCTATACTCTTCGAATCTAGCCCTATTCTGTTTTTGCTCTTGGAAATACTTCCAGTCCTGTAGGCAGACTAATTCGAGCCTTGTTCTGGACAGATTCTGGACTTCTACGTCAGCTGTTCTGGTTTTGCGGTCGATTCTCCTCTTGTTCATTCACGGGTTTCGGCCTCGTTTTTGGCGGTGCTTCCGGTCTGTTTCCGCCCTGATTGCAATGCGCTTCGGCCTCGTTCCTGCACTGTTTCTATTGTCGCCTGTTGCCTCCTTTTTCTCTGAGTTGAAACTGGCCTTCCGCCCGCGTTGTGCCTGTTTTTAGACTGATGGACGGCTTTTTCAATGAGCGTTTCGTCTGCCTTTTGATGAGTGAGCAGAGGCTTCAGTGATAAATGCGCTTATTAAGTTTGGCATGCCTCGCCCAATTAAAGATGGCTTGTTGATTGTTTGTAGTTGGACGGCCGGAGGAGATAATGCAGTGTAGTTCACACTCATGTTGGCGCGCGGTTCCGGCCATACAGTGTGCTTCATTTTTCATCTTCCCTTAATAACAGAGCATGGGCAGCAAATCACTTATAAAGATGCAGGAGATATCGAAGCCCTCGAAAAATGGTCTTTAATTCTCTATAAAATACTTTATTCAATTCACTGGTTGGCTAGAACTGGAATAGAGTGCTGAGCTGTCTATTGAGTACCTGCGTTGCGGGAAGCATGTCTTCCTTACATACCAGATCAGGTGACAATCCCAAATTTCACATTGTATTTTTTCATCAAAACATGCAGAATTACTGGAGGTCTTTGGGATACACAGTCAAAGACTGGTGTGCATGTGTCACGGATGAAATAGCTGTTCATCATACAGAGAAAGACCTGCTACGCGCAATAATAGGCCTTTGTTCCGGCAAAAAAAGTAGATCAAACGTCTGATGTCTTATTGGCGGGCTTTCTATTGATTTTATCCATAAGACCTGGCGTGAATCTCACGTGACTATATCAAACAGTAGTCCATCATGGAGCTTAGGAAGTCCAGAATCTTTGGGTACAATTCCGAACAGCTCTTTTGATTAATTAGGCTCAGATCGTGGGGATTGAAAACCCTACCGAATCCGTGGCCAACCGTTCGTCAGTTCGTGAGAGAGCAATAAATATGCTTGATTGAAGCCTGCCAAAAATCTAGCTCATGCAATTGGCAGAATTCATCTCTATTATACTCAACCTCTTCTCTGGCTTTCAAGGCATAAGAATATGACTCCGAAGGTTTGATGCAAGACCTTACAAATCTAATCGACTCGCTAGAATTATTGAAATTACGCATTCCCAACTTGGGGGCCAGATACATGCTAGCGACTGCTCATTATTACAGGTATGTAGGCCTAGTGTAATGTCTTCCTAGAGAAGAATTAGACGCACCACACTGGCCAAAGATCGGCCAGTCATTAAACCATTAAAACCCGCTGAGCAAAATGCAGACTTAAACCACTCACATTCTACGTTTTTTACACTCTTTCTGAGACGCACAAGACTTTACTCACGAACATCTGGAAATCTGTTCACAGTCTAAAACATCGTCATCAAAACTCAACCCTGGATCATTTATCTTCAGAACACACGTTACACCCTCTGTCTGTAGAACCCGGTCCGAATCGTGGTTGTGCATATAACGATTTCGCTGCTCAGGCTTCACGCGACATGAAAGTTGACTTTAAGCCCATACATAGTCTTCTTTGCCATAGACGTGAGCTCTCCACTCGTCTGAGGTAGTTATAATTTGATAAATCAAGGAACTGAACTCTTCCTAACCGGAATTCTGTTTTCTGGTGGGCCACAGCTTCCCTCACGAGTACACAGTCCCTATTCTCACTTAGCAATGTCACAGCCAGAACTTATGGACAAGGAGAAAGACACTCACATGGCGGATCGGGACGACGAGCTTGACGAGATATTTTATGATGAAGATACTCACATGAATGTGGTGCCTGGGATTTCTGGGTCCGCAGAAAATACTGCCAACGGTCAAGACCCGGCACAGGCGAAACTGGGAGTAGCCGCTGCCGCCGGCATTCCCACAGGCGACCTCCCATAACTAGCGCAAAAGACAAAATCCTTCAAAAAATGCACGAGCTTGTTGTAGGTGACTTTGCGCCGATTATTCCCGATGCAGTGACGAAGTACTACCTCAGCAAAAACGGATTTGAATCTGCAGATGTGCGGGTCAAGTGGATCTTGGCACTTTCCACCCAGAAATTCATCTCCGACATTGCGCAGGATGCATACGAATTCTCACGCATCCGGAGCTCCTCGGCCGTATACAATTCGGCTAATCCACAGCTAAGGGCGAAGCAGCTATTGCAGGGGCAACAGTTTGCCAACCAGCAAAGCACAGGTGCCAACGGGAATTCTGAGGGCACATGTGAACCTCAAACACAGCTGTACGCCAGCAACGCTGGAAATCAGCAGGGTTATATTGTGCTTACGATGGAAGATTTGAGCAACGCCCTCTGCGAGTATGGCGTAAACACCTCCGGGCCGAATTTCTACAGGTGATCTTATATTCAACCGTATCCAGCGAGGAGGGAAAAGCAATTGGCTTGGTGATTTGGGGTGGAGGGAATGCCTTCAGTTTCTCCAGAAGCAGGTTCACACCTCACAGGAGAATACATTTTGAGAAGATGAATATGACAAATGGGCGGCTTATCGTCAATCAACACATGCAACAGAAAGAAACGTTCAACAAACTGTCTGAAGGCAAAAAAAGAATTTCGACAACTGCAGGATTCGAACCTGCGCGGGCAAAGCCCAAAAGATTTCTAATCTTTCTCCTTAACCGCTCGGACAAGTTGCCAGTTTCTTGTCTTTGTTATGATACGACATGAGCAAGATTATAGATTCTTGGCATCCTGTATAATACGAAGGACGAAGAGTCTAAACATTCCTGATCGGGGTTACCCCTCACCTACTGTATAGAAGGGTTCCGAACTATAAAGGAGCGTGAGGCTGAGACATCCCTGAAGAAGGATAACACTTTTTAGACATCGAGAATACGACAGATAGACTAGGCCTATCCACTAAGGCTGAACTATCTATAAACCGATCTACTCGTAGTTTA